CCACTGCTGAACGGCTCTCACAGTCAGGAAGTTCTTCCTCATATTCAGATGGAATCTTCTCTATTGTAGTTTGAAGCCATTGTTCTGCGTCCTAGTCTCCAGGGAAGCAGAAAACAAGCTTGCTCCCTCCTCCCTGTGGCTTCCTCTCACATATTTATACATGGCTATCATATCTCCTCTCAGCCTTCTCTTCTTCAGGCTAAACATGCCCAGTTCCCTACGCCGCTCCTCATAGGGCTTGTTCTCCAGACCCTTGATCATTTTAGTCGCCCTCCTCTGGACACATTCCAGCTTGTCAATATCTCTCTTGAATTGTGGTGCCCAGAATTGGACACAATATTCCAGGTGTGGTCTAACCAAAGCGGAATAGAGCATGGGGAGCATGACTTCCCTAGATCTAGACACTAGGCTCCTCTTGATGCAGGCCAAAATCCCATTGGCTTTTTTTGCCGCCACATCACATTGTTGGCTCATGTTTAACTTGTTGTCCACAAGGACTCCAAGATCTTTTTCACACGTACTGCTCTCGAGCCAGGCATTGTCCCCCATTCTGTATCTTTGCATTTCGTTTTTCCTGCCAAAGTGGAGTATCTTGCATTTGTCCCTGTTGAACTTCGTTTTGTTCGTTTTGGCCCTTCATCTCTCTCATCTGTCAAGATCCCTTTGAGTCCTGCTCCTGTCTTCTGGAGTCTTGGCTCTCCCTCCCAATTTGGTGTCGTCTGCAAACTTGATGATCCTGCCTTCTAACCCTTCATCTCAGTCATGAATGAAGATCCTGATCAGGACCGGGCCCAGGGGGGAACCCTCCTGATGGCCCTCCACTCGTCACTTCTTTCCAGGATGAAGAGGAAGCATTAGTGAGCACCCTCTGGGTTAGTGAGCACCCTCTATCATAATGTCTCTGAGAGGACTATCTTTATGTTTTAGAATTTGGACTGTGAAAACAGCCGGACAGTAAGTGCTGCTTTAATTAAACAGTTTTACACAAGCTGGGCGTTTGTTTTGGTTCACCTCTGCCTGTGTATCGGCAGAGCCCTTGCAACATGACACTTCCCACCTTCTGTTCCTTTGTGGTCAACTCAGTGAAATCAGTGTGATTTCGAAGGCTGTCATGGCTGGAATCACTGGGTTGTTGTGTGTTTTCCGGGCTGTCTGTCTATGTTCCAGCAGCATTCTCTCCTGACGTTTCACCCACATCTATGGCAGGCATCCTCAGAGGTTGAGGGGTCTGTTGGAAACTAGGCAACTAAGGTTTACATATCTGGAATGTTCAAGGTAGTAGAAAGAATTCTTGTCTATTTGGGAAAGGTGTGATTATCACCAAAGGGCCTTGCAGCTTCAAACCTGGCTGCTTCCTGCCTGAGGGAATCCTTTGTTGGGAGGTGATTACCTGGCCCTGATTGTTTTTTGTCTGGAATTCCCCTGCTTTTGAGTGTTCCTCTTTATTTACTGTCCTGATTTTAGAGTTTTTTAAAATACTGGGAGCCAGATTGTGTTCCTGGTCATGGTTTCCTCCTTTCTGTTGAAATTGTTCACATGCTTCTTGTCGACTTCGGTGGCTTCTCTGTGTCGTCTGACATGGTGGTTATGAGAGTGGCCCAGCATTTCTGTGTTCTCAAATAACATGCTGTGTCCAGGTTAACACTTCCCAACAAAGGATTCCTCAGGCAGTAAGCAGCCAGAACTTGAAGCTGCAAGGCTATTCAGTGCTAATCAAGGTGGCCAATGGCAACATTCACACTTGCCTCCAACAGACAAGAGTTCTTTCTCCCACTCTGAACATCATTCCACAGATACTGTATATAAACCCCACCTGCCTTGTTTCCAACACACCTCACAACCTCTGAGGGTGCCTGCCATAGGTGCAGGTGAAATGTCAGGAACGAATGCTTCTGGAACATGGCCAGACAGCCTGGAACACTCACAGCCACCCAAATCAGTGCGACTCTCTAGTGTTAGAAGGAGTTACCCTAGCTTCCTCCCTTCTATTACTCTACCTTTCCATCCTTCCGCCTCTCTTTCTTGCCTTCTGAACCTTTAGCCAACTTTGGGATCCATCCAATCATATCAGCGACCTTTTCTTCCTTCCTTCTTTCCATCCATCCTTCCTTTCTTCTGTCCCCCTCCCTCCTGTCCTTGCTTCCGTCCTTGGTTCCCTTCCTCCCTTTCTTGTCTCCTTTTCCTTGAGGTCCTTTGTGTCAGTGCCATCACCGCACAGCAAGGCAAAGAAACACATCGATCACAGTCTCTTCAGGCTATTAACTAATTTATTGTACAACTATTTACATTAGAAGCTAAGCACATCGTAAAACTGCTTCCTCTCCATCCGGCAGCTACATTGCGAACACACACAGACCACACTGTTATCAGCACTAGTCCACACCTCCTGCATTCCAGAGTGACGTATGACGTACGACGCACAAGCAGTGTCCATTAGCTCTATACACTTATGACCTCTCTAGAAATGCCGATTCCCTTCATGGTACAGTTAACCCTTTCCACACAGGAATACTCCCAGCACACAGCATTGCATTTTAAACATACATACATACTTTGAAATCTATATTACCCATTAGCCATTTTCAAACCACTTCAACCAACTCTGGTCCCAGTCGTGTTCATTCACTGAGATTGATTCTGGATACGTTCCTCCTTGTTTATGAACCTATGATTGCTTTTGTTGGTATCTGTGTATTTATTTATTTATTTACATTATTTCTATCCCGCCCATATCAGCCCGAAGGCAACTCAGGGCGGCTCAGTGTATGCCCTTGAGACCCTTCATGCCTGCATTTCCCTTATTTCCATTGTCAACACGACCCATGACGGGAAAGAGGGGGAAATCTTGGTGGTAAAGGAGGTTCCTGGCTTTCATCCCTTTTCTTTTACTTCTTCTTTCTTGACCAGGGAAACGAGCATCCAGTGAAGCCACATCTGCCGTGCTGAGAAAGAAACCAGAATCGAGTGGCTATTGAGGAATTTGGAAACCAAGAGTGCAGTCAGAGAACCAATGGTGAAGGAAGAAGAAATCCTCTCCAGGTGCTGATCGTGCAGAACTCTTGGCCTCATTCACAGATCCAAAGGGGAAAAAAGAAGAGTCAAGTGTCTATCGTTCGGTAAAAAATAAATACCACTCTCAAGATGGGGAAGAAACACTATAAATGTTCTGAATGTGGGAAGAGCTTTCAAGACACGCGCCTTCTGCAGCAACATGAAGTAATTCACACTGGGGAGAAACCCTACACGTGCTTGGAATGCGGAAAGAGCTTTGCGCTGAGAGAAAATCTGCACAAGCATCAGAAAACTCACACTGGGGAGAAACCCTACACGTGCCTGGAGTGTGGGAAGAGCTTTTCGCTGAGAGAAAATCTGCAGAAACATGAGAAAACTCACACTGGGGAGAAACCCCATACATGCATAGAGTGTGGAAAGAGCTTCACTCAGAGTGGGAGTTTACGTGTACATCAACGGACTCACACTGGGGAGAAACCCTATGCATGCTTGGAGTGTGGAAAACACTTCACTCAGAGTAGAAATCTACATTCACATCAAAAAACTCACACTGAGGAAAAACCCTACACATGTCAGGAGTGTGGGAAAAGCTTCCGTGAGAGTGGAAGTCTACGTGTACATCAACGGACTCACACTGGGGAGAAACCCTATACATGTGGGAAGTGTGGAAAGAGCTTCACTGCGAGTGGGCGCCTGCATTTACATCAACGGACTCACACTGGAGAGAAACCCCATATATGTGTGGAGTGTGGAAAGAGTTTCACTGAAAGTGGGAATCTATATCAACATCAAAGGACTCACACTGGGGAGAAACCCTATAAGTGCCTGGAGTGTGGGAAGAGTTTTGCATTGAGTTCACATATACGTAGACATCAAAGGACTCACACTGGAGAGAAACCCTATCAGTGCACAGAGTGTGGACAGGCCTTTGCGCATAGTGGAAGTCTGCGTTCCCATCAAAGGACCCACACCGGGGAGAAGCCCTATCCATGCCTGGAGTGTGGGAAGAGCTTTGCTGTGAGTCAAAATCTGCACATACATCGAAGGATCCACACTGGGGAGAAACCCTATACATGTCAGGAGTGTGGAAAAAGCTTCCGTGGGAAATGCTATTTAAATTCACATCAAAAGACTCACACAGGGGAGTGTGGAATGAGCTTCTCTCAAAATAAAAATCTACATTCCCATCAAAGGACTCACACTGGGGAGAAGCCCTATCCATGTCAGGAGTGTGGGAAAAGCTTCCGTGAGAGTGGAAGTCTACGTGTACATCAACGGACTCACACTGGGGAGAAACCCTATACATGTGTGGAGTGTGGAAAGAGCTTCACTGTGATAATAAATCTGCGTTCACACGAAAAGATTCACACTGGGGAGAAACCATACAAATGCCTCGAGTGTGGAAAGAGCTTTGTGCTGAGTTCAGGTCTACGTTCCCATCAAAGGATCCACACTGGGGAGAAGCCCTATCAATGCCTGGAGTGTGGAAAGAGCTTCACTCAGAGTGGGGCTTTACGTGTACATCGACAGACTCACACTGGAGAGAAACCCCATACACAGTTCAAATGAACGTAGACATCAAAAGACTCACCTTGGTGAGAAACCATAAACAGGCAGTCCTGGGTTGGAAACAGGATCCCTTCTGTAGGTTTGCTCTTAAGTTGAATTTGTCTGTAAGTCAGAACAGATGTCTTTTAAAGTATAATCCCAAACCAAAGGGTGTTTGAGAAGAGAATAGAGACACAGAGGTGGGAAGTTGAGAAAAGCAAAATTACAGGCAGAAGGGGGAACAAAGGTTTGATGTCATGGCCGTGTTTGCATCAAGTGAGACTACAAAACCCATGATCCAGAGACAGTTAAACATGGCACTCGCTTGACTTGATTGTAAACACGCCTTAGTTACTCTGCAGACTTAAAGTATTGTAATCTCCTCGATTCCTTGTCTGAATTGGAAAGTGCAAAGGACCAGGCATGTCAGGGGCACAGAGCACCAACACCTGGGAGTCCTGCTTGGTGCAGTGACCGCTGGTGGGTGGGCTGGTTGGTGTCATGTTGCCAGGGCTCTGCCTTATTTAGGTAGAGATGAATCTGTTGCACCTCAGGGTAGTTTTCACCTTGCTCCCAAACACCAATACACCAAAGCTGTAGATTTTGTAGTTTATTGAGAAAAAGGCAAAATCAAAGCATAATCCTTTAACCAATGGTCAAACAAGAGTCCATGAAAAACAGTAGACAACCAGGCCCAAATCCCAGACTCAGGAAGCCAGAAGCATGCTGCTTAAAGCCAAGGTTAATCCATAGAAGTTGGCAAGGAAAGAGCCACGTTGAACTGACAACCCCTGTATATCAGCGAGAATGCTAAATGCCCTTTGCCAACATGAACGCATTGCAATGACCTTTGGTAGACTTGGCTTCTTGCTTGCTAGTCAAGCGAGAGCTTCTCTGTCTTAATTGTGTAAAGAATGAATGTTTTGAATGCATGCAGAGGAACAGAAAAGCAGGCCTGAAGAAAACCAACATGGAGTTCTCGCAAGGCATGATATGGGAGGGCCTTGGTAGTCGAAGCGAGGAGGCAGCAAGGCATAACTGAATGACAATGGAAAATAAGGTGTGCGGCCATGCATGTAAGGAGTACGAGCAGTGTGCAGGTGTATCCCATAAGTCATGAGGCCTGGAATGTGAATGTCCTGAACTTTGGGGAGAACAAGGACTTGAAAAGACTTGAAAGAGAACAGAACAACCTGATTATTGAAATGAAGAAAAATGGATTTTGGCCTATAAATGCAGGGGACCCCGACAACATGCACGCTTCCTGATCCATGGCAACGGAGCATCCACACCTCCTCGGAAAAGATTGATCACCTTTGCCGGAGGAGGCCTGTGTGTGCGTGAGTATGTGTGAATGTGTGTGTGCACAAGAGCTCTCCTTGATGTGATTCTGATATGACTCTGTGATTATTGTATTTCAATAAAAGTTACATAAATAGTGCCAAAGCCAAATTTGGTCTCTAAAGTGTCTCATTGGTCTAAACTGCCTTACTATCCTTACTAACACTCTGTAAAAAGAACAGGAACCTCTTTGGGTTCATAACAATTGCAGACGATCTTGCCTGCTCATTAATTCATTATCATCTTCAAGGCTCTCTGACCCCTTATCTTGGTCCAGCTGGACTGGATCGCCGTGGGAAGGCAAAGAAAGCTATACCAAACCCACCGATAGAAACTCCATATTACATTTTAACAGCTTCCACCACCATGCGTTGAAATTTAATTTACCTTACAATCAATTATTGAGACTAAGGCGTAACACCAGCCTGCAAGAAGAATTTGAATCCATAATAGAACCCTTTAAAGACTCCTTTAAGAGGAGAGGATACCCAGAAAAAATTTTGGACTTTGCAGTTAAAAGAGTCAAAAAGGTGGACAGAAATATTCTCCTACAGGAACAAACAAAATCTAGAGAAAATCGCATCGTTTGGCCACTTACCTTAACACCATTATCACCTAAAATAAAACACATCATCAACAAACATTGGCACTTGATACAGGACATTAGGGGCTGCGAAAAAATTCCAATGATAGCCCACAGAAGATCTAGAAATTTTAGAAACTTTTTAGTTCATGCAGACCTGACTAATCCGACGATAACCGACAGTAATAATATAGTAGGACATTATCCATGTGGACACTGCAATTGTTGCAAGCAATCCCTAACTATTAAACAAGATATATACCTCGATCCACATTCCCACATTACACTGAAACAGTTCACTACATGTACATCTGAAAATGTGATATACATACTCATATGCCCGTGCAAAATGTACTATGTGGGCATGACCACTAGGGCTTTGAAAACATGTATTAATGAACACCGTTCTAGAATTAAGAATGGATGTACAGGCTCCACTCTGTATACACACTGTCAAGAAAAAGCCCATTCCCATGAGAGTTTCAAGTTTTTTGCAATGTTGTTGTTGTTCATTCGTTCAGTCGTCTCCGACTCTTCGTGACCTCATGGACCAGCCCACGCCAGACCTCCCTGTCGGCCGTTACCACCCCCAGCTCCCTCAAGGTCAGTCCAGTCACTTCAAGGATGCCATCCATCCATCTTGCCCTTGGTCGGCCCCTCTTCCTTTTGCCTTCCACTTTCCCCAGCATCATTGTCTTCTCCAGGCTTTCCTGTCTCCTCATGATGTGGCCAAAGTACTTCAACTTTGTCTCTAGTATCTTTCCCTCCAGTGAGCAGTCGGGCTTTATTTCCTGGAGGATGGACTGGTTGGATCTTCTCGCAGTCCAAGGCACTCTCAGAACTTTCCTCCAACACCACAGCTCAAAAGCATCTCTCTTCCTTTGCTCAGCCTTCCCTAAGGTCCAGCTCTCACATCCATAGGTTACTACAGGGAATACCATGGCTTTGACTAGGCAATGGATCTTTGTTGCCAGTCTGATGTCTCTACTCTTCACTATTTTATCGAGACTGGACATTGCTCTCCTCCCAAGAAGTAAGCGTCTTCTGATTTCCTGGCTACAGTCTGCATCTGCACTCATCTTTGCCCCTAGAAATACAAAGTCTGTCACGGCCTCCACGGTTTCTCCCTCTATTTTCCAGTTGTCAATCATTCTTGTTGCCATAATCTTGGTTTTTTTGACGTTTAGCTGCAACCCGGCTTTTGCGCTTTCTTCTTTCACCTTGATTAGAAGGCTCCTCAGCTCCTCCTCGCTTTCGGCCATCAGAGTGGTGTCATCTGCATATCTGAGGTTGTTAATGTTTCTTCCAGCAATTTTCACCCCAGCCTTGCAATAGAGAAAGTCAAACCCAGAGGTGATGTAAAAAAAACTTCTTTTACAAAGGGAGACCTTCTGGTCCTTTAAATTGAATTCTACATTCCCCAAAGGCCTTAATGACAGACTGGACTTCACCTGTTATCTTTAGTGTACTAACTATTTGAAGACAGGATGTAAACCATAAGTTACGTGCAGGTAGAGAAAATATACAGAGCTCTGCATGAGCCACAGCATGTGAGTCCATTATATAATATTATTGTATATTTTTAAATGGTGTATATTCTGTATGTATTCTTACAAAGTTATGGAGAACACAGGGGATGATTGTACCTATCTATTTTGGTTCATTTAGTAAAATTACCAGCAGTATGTACCTATGTTTTGTTTAGAATACAAGAAACACAAGAAAGCCTGGAATTGTAACAGAACTGAACAAGTGCAATTAAAGACACTTAAAGACACAGTATTTGCAAGAAAAAAGATCCAATAGATAGAGCTTGATTTGAGCCACAGGACAATATATGCTACAACTTAGAACTTGAGCAGGACTGAGACATTGCAACCACAGAGTATATGAAGAAAATATACGCCAAAAGACTACTCACAACCTGAAGAAAGATTCCTGAAACAAGAATAGTGTACCCGGGATTCTTGTTGTTGTATTTACATTTAGTAGACATGTGTACTATTTTCCTTTGAACATTCATGTAGACTATACCGAGAGTTACACAATTAGAACCCAGTAGGGTTTGTGAAGCAATACTAAAATAATTGTGGAATTATTATTGTTTTGAATTGTTATTTGCTATTGAAACCACTGTGGAATGACCAGGGTGAGACAAAGGACTTTTTTCTGCTGGGGCTGGCTGTGAATGTTTCAGCTGATCACCTTGATTTGCATTCAATGGCTTGGAAGCGCCTGGGGGGAACCTTTTGTTGAGAGTGATTTTATGTGCCTGTTTGTTTCTCCTCTGTTGTTTTGCTGTTGTATTTCTGGCTACCAGTATTAAAAAACTCAAAAAAACTCAAAAATCTATATGTGTTGTGTGTCTTTGGCATTGAATGTTTGCCATATATGTGTACATTGGGAGAGCGTAGCATGGAAGACGGAGCTACAGCACCCCCTGTGGCCAGAGTCGAGCACAGCCTCCAGAGGCCGGAGATGGAAAAAGATGGGAAGCCTTTGCCTCTGTTCATGTACTGTCTGTCTTTGTTAATTGTATAATGGCACTGAATGTTTGCCGTATATGGGTTCTGTAAGCCACCCCGAGTCCCCTCAGGAAGATAGGGCAGAATATAAATAAAGTATATTTATTTATTTATTTATTTATTTAATACACTTGTATACCGCTAATATCTCAGCCTAAATCGGCGACTCATTGCGGTTTACAACAATTAAAAGCAATGTACAATTTAAAACAACAACACGTAAACAATACAAATTATTGGGCCACCAATAATAATACCATGCTTCTCGTCACAAAAATCACAGTCCAGAGTTCGTCATCCATAGTTAACCAGTCCTTAGTCTATAAATTCAATAGTAACAAACTAATTGAATGCTTGTTTACACAACCATGTTTTTAATCTCTTCCGAAAGACCATCAGCGAAGAGGCTGATTGTATCTCTATAGGGAGGGTGTTCCAAAGCCGAGGGGCCACCACAGAAAAGGCCCTGTCTCTCGTTCCCACCAGCCGCACTTGGGAAGCCGGTGGGATAGAGAGCAGGGACTCTCCAGAAGATCTAAGGGTCCTGGTGGGCTGATATTATTATTATTGTCAAGCTGCTTTGAGTCCCCTTCAGGAGAGATAAAGCAGGGTATAATAATAATAATAATAATAATAATAATAATAATAATAATAATAATAATAATAATAGAGATTCCATCTGAACATGAGGAAGAACTTCCTGACTGTGAGAGCCGTTCAGCAGTGGAACTCTCTGCCCTGGAGTGTGGTAGAGGCTTCTTCTTTGGAAGCTTTTAAACAGAGGCTGGATGGCCATCTGTCAGGGGTGCTTTGAATGCAATATTCCTGCTTCTTGGCAGGGGGTTGGACTGGATGGCCCATGAGGTCTCTTCCAACTCTAGGATTCTATGATTCTAATAATAATAATAATAATAATAATAATAATAACAACAATAACAATAACAATAACAACAACCCTCAAGTATTGTAATTGCAATAGCTTTGGGCTTAGTATTGGGCTTCTTTTGACACCAGGACCCTCTGCTTTGAGCTTCTTCTAAGACAGAGAAAGTTGGCTATAATAATAATAATAATAATAATAATAATAATAATAATAATAATAATAACAACAACAACAACAACCCTCAAGTATTGTAATAATAATAGTCCTAATTTGGCTTTGGGCTTCCTTTGACATCAGGACCCTCTATTTTGAAATTCTTCTAAGAGAGAGAAAGTGGGCTATAATAATAATAATAATAATAATAACCCTCAAATATTGTAATTGCAATAGCTTTGGGCTTAGTTTTGGGCTTCTTTTAACACCAGGACCCTCTGCTTTGAGGCTCTTCTGAGAGAGAGAAAGTGGGCTATAATAATAATAATAATAATAATAATAATAATAATAATAATAATAATAATAATGGTAATGGTAATAATAATAACAATAAACCTCAAGTATTGTAATAATGTTGTTGTTCATTCGTTCAGTTGTCTCTGACTCTTCGTGACCTCACGGACCATCCCACGCCAGAGCTCCCTGTCGGCCGTCACCACCCCCAGGGTCTCCTTCAAGGTCAGTCCAGTCACTTCAAGGATGCCATCCATCCATCTTGCCCTTGGTCGGCCCCTCTTCCTTTTGCCTTCCACTTTCCCCAGCATCATTCCCTTCTCTAGGCTTTGCTGTCTCCTCCTGATGTGGCATTCAAAGGACTTCCACTTTGTCTCTAGTCTCCTTCCCTCCAGTGAGCAGCCGGGCTTTCTTTCCTGGAGGATGGACTGGTTGGATCTTCTCGCAGTCCAAGGCACTCTCAGAGCTTTCCTCCAACACCACAGTTCAAAAGCATCTATCTTCCTTCGCTCAGCCTTCCCTAAGGTCCAGCTCTCACATCCGTAGGTACCAGGTACCATGAGCTTTGACTAGGCAATGGATCTTTGTTGCCAGTCTGATGTCTCTACTCTTCACTATTTGATCGAGACTGGACATTGCTCTCCTCCCAAGAAGGAAGCGTCTTCTGATTTCC